CCCATCCTCCATCCTCCATCCTCCACCCCCATCCTCCATCCTCCACCACCATCTTCCATCCTCCACCCTTGCTTGTGGCCCCACCTTCCTCCCCAACAGCCCACCTTCCCCCGCTGTGACCCCCCAGATTCTCCCTGAGCCCCATCCTGCTGGGCACTGGGGCCTCCCCACACCCTGCTCCCCAAGGACACCCCTCCTGCCGCTGCTCCCTCTCCCCTGGACCTCTCCCACGGAGCCCGAGCATCCGCTAATGACGCTCTGAGCAACAGAGTCACTACCTCCATCCTCACTTCTCAACACGTCCCTGGCTCCTCTAGCTCCACAGCTGGCCCCCAGAACATCCTGGGGTCTCTGCTGAGGGTCCTGCCTCCTAGAGCCCTCAGAGACCACCCACCCTGTGTTCTGCCCTGCTGTCTAGAGGCGTCGTTTCTAGAAGCTTCTATCTCACAGTTGCCCCAGTGTCTCTCCCAGCCTCACCCTCTGGAACACCCTGCTCACGCCATGTCTTCTTGCTCAAGGGCTCTGTCCCTGGGAGAGCATGATCCTTGGGAGGGAGGGAGGCAGGCAGGAGCAGAGTTTCTTTCTACGTAGTCTGTGTGTCCATGGCCACCACTGCTGTCACAAAGATACTGCCAAGTGTCATCGTTGTGGTTGTTGTTGTTAGGCCATGGAGTCCCTCTGGCCACCTCACGGCAGCAGCACACACCAACCAACCTGCCCCAGTCTCACAATTGGCGCTGTGCTGGAGCACTTAGTGGCAGCCCCTGTGCCCGTCCCCCGTGGAGGCTCTCCTCCTGGACACGGACCCGCTACTGTACCCATGGTGATATCCTTCTCCAGGGAAGGGTCCCCCGGAGAGCAGACCCTACTATGTGAGATGATGTCTCGATGCCCTCCACTCCTAAGCGGGGGAGGGAGATGGGGGCGGGCATTCTGGCTTCACTTCCTCCAGGACAGCTTTGGTTTTCCTCCTCCACCAACCCCCTGCCTGCACTGAACCCCCTCTCCCCACAGGCAGGTGCCTTCCGAACCCAGAGCGACTGGTCTCCTCACAGTCCTGAAGACCAGGAGTCCACATGAGAGGCCCCAGCTCCCGCCTGCATGCAGATGGTGGCCCCCAGGGTCCCTGAGATGCCCCAAGGAGGAATGGGCCTACCCGTCCTAAGCTTCCCTTCTAGGAGAGGGGAGCCACGCCCCCCAGAAAAGCTGTTAGGGCAGGTGGCTGGCCTCATTGAAGCGCTGGACAGCAAAAGAACTGGGCAGGTTAAAGAGCTCTGGGGAAGTTTCCAGAGCAGGGCAAAGGCTGGGTTAGCCCAGGGTCCCCTCAGAAGTCAAAGGCCATGGAGAGTGCTTCCTGTGGCATGACCTTCAACTTGTACAGACTCCCGGCAAGATGTGCAGGGGGAGTCAGAGCAGAAGCCTCTGGGGGAGGCGGGGAGCGCAGGGATGGGGAGGGGAACCAGCTCCGTGGAGGCAAGGTGTGGCCGCAGGTGGGGGGAGGCCACTGACATGGCTCTGTGGGTGTGAGGTCCGTCTTTGGCGCACGAGTAGAGAAAAAGCCAAGCTTGCCATTTCCCTAAGGAACCTCTGCAGATCCCACACGGAGCGGCGCATTCAAACATGAGAGCCTCCAGCCGGCGGTTCCCCACCCTCCTCACGCCGCGCCCCTCCCACACAGGTCCTCACGTGGTGGGGACCCCCAACCGTAAAATTATTTTCGTTGCTGCTTCATCACTGCCATTTTGCTACTGTGATGAATCGTCATGTAAATATCTGATAGGCATTTTCATGGTTACAAATTGGACATCATTAAAGCGCAGTGATGCATCACCAAAACAATATGTAATGATATATTGTGAGATATTTCTTTCTAATCACAAATAAATGACATTTTGTCTTGAAGCGTGGTGTCGCCTGGGGAACAGTCTTCACGCCAGGCACTCGTAGGCGGGCGTATCTGCATGTGAGTGGGCCCACCTGGAGACGGATAGAGAGCAGTGTCTCGGTTCCTACCACCATCGGAAAGATACGTGTTCTGATGGCCTAAGGTGACCCTTGTAAAGGGCTGTTGGACCCTCCCCCTGCTCCCTGAAGGGGTCGTGACCCACAGGTTGAGAACCACTGCTCTAGCTGGGTGAAGGGTACCAACCACCACCTCTGATTGGCCAGGGCGAGGGCGGGGCGGGATGGAGGCCGGGTGCATGCAGGGCTGGGGAAGGAGTGAAACCCCTTCCTCAGGATCTCTGGTCAAAGTTGCCGAGCGGGGCACCCCCGAATCCGTGGCTCCCGGGGAAGGAGGTAGCTGCAGGATCGGCATGGTCTGCGTGACACCAATGTCCTGTTGGTCCCCTTTCCTTCTCTAGGGATGAACCGGATCGAGACCTCCGAGCCGACCCCCAAAGCCACCACGGGGACGGACGTGCTGTCCACAGACTATGTCGTGATGCACGGCGTGGTCTTGCTCACCTGCGGGTGTGGCACGCTGGGCAACGGCTGGGTCATCTGGCTGCTGGCCTTCCGCGTGAGGAGGAACCCCTTCTGCGTCTACGTCCTCAACCTGGCCGTGGCTGACCTCCTCTTCCTGGTCTGCCAGATCTCCGTGGTCGGCTCTGAAATCATCTTCCTGGTCAAGGACACGGAGGCCACTGAGATGCTGCAGAAGGTGAAGTACTCGGCATACATGATGAGCATGAGCCTGCTGGTGACCATCAGCCTGCAGCGCTGCCTCGGGGTCCTCTTCCCCATGTGGTACAGGCTCCACAGGCCCCAGCACATGTCCTCCGGGGTGTGCGCCCTGCTCTGGGGGCTTTACATCCTGGTGGACATCCTGATGTCCTTCCTTTGTAACAAGTTCAGGGATTCTTCCCAACCGTGGTGCTCAACCTTGAAAACCATTGGGAGCGTGCTTATCCTGGGCGTCTTCACGCCCCTGATGATGCTGTCCAGCCTGGTCCTCTTTGTCCACATCCGGAGAAGTTCCAGACAGTGGCATCGGAGGGCCCCAAGGGTGCTTATGGTGATCCTGGCCTCTGTCCTGGTGTTCTTGGTCTTCTCGGTGCCCTACGTCATTCACTGGCTCGCCAAGTGGATGAAGGTGAGCCGCTGGGTGGAGAATCTGCACGTCAGCATATTACGCCTTTCCATGTCCCTGAGCAGCAGTGCCAACCCCATCATCTACATCTTGGCGGGCAGAAAGAGGACCCAGAGCCAGCCGGAAGCCCTGGGGGCCATGCTCGACAGGGCGCTACAGGAGACTTGTGAGGGGTCAAGCAAGGAGACATCGTCTATAGCCATCAGGGATATGGTCTCCGAGGCCCAGCCACCCAGTGTGACTGCCCCGGTGAGCCCAGCTCTGGAGATTAGCCTGTCCACCAGGCTGTGACACTGCGGTTGGGGGCCCAGCAGACTGGGCACCCATCATGCTGGTGTCACAGCTCCTGGGTGCCCACCAGGCCCCCCCCACCAGGGTGTGTGCTCTGGGCTTCCTCCTGAAGCTCAGCCTTGCAGAGGAAATGCAGCTGCCTCCTCTAGGGGGGCCCGTCTGACGGCCAGGTCCGCTTACTGTCTACCCAACAGGGACTCAGACAACGTCATGTGAGTCGGGGGGAGAACTGGGATCCAGAGGGTTACCAACGGCTGATTTTCCGGAAGTCAATCCCCAAGATCGACCTTCCAAGACCCGTTGGGTAGACTTGTGCCTTCAGCCTCATCGTGAGAAGCTGGTGCCGTGGAGAGTCTGTACCCCCAGGGACTGCATCTTCTGCTTAGAGGGCGGAGTCAATCCATGGAGTGACAGCGGCCACAGGAAGTGCATCATGGGAAGGGAAGTTCCTCTCTCCACAAGCCTCCATCCTGCTGCCTGAGATTGGGGACACCTGTAATTGGGCTGAGGTGGTGGGGGCGGGGGGGGGTGTCTGCTGTTCACAGTCACTTGTGTGTGTCATGAGACTCTGGTCAGCCAACTCCATGCGTAAGCACCTTCCAGGATTGTCCCCACTGCCCACAGGGTCAGCTCACGTGCCCCAGGGGAGCAGAGCAGGGCTGGGCATCCTGTCAGGCTATGCCCCACGGGCCTTGTCACCAGAAGTGGATGGAGAGCGGGCAGTGGGGGAGACACAAGACTGCCAATGTGAGGAGGCCAAGTGAGCGGACGGGCAACCCCTCCAGTCTTCACACGTGTGGCTTCTAATCGGAGGACTGGCCTCTCCTGGACGCTGAGCCCGCACAGCAGGCACCACCCCCACCCCACCCCCACCAGTCAGAGTGCGCACAAGCTTGCTGCAGGGGCGTGGTCACCCAACACACCTGGGCGGAAACTGGGAAAGGACAGCTGACCAGGCTTCTGGTTTGCAGACACCACCGGCCCAGGAGCCGGCTGGGCCCTGCGCTGTATGTGCATGAGAAGTTGCCGGTTCCAGCACCCCAACTCTCAGTATTTAACAATGACTCTAAACCCACCCGGACAGACCAACTGCTCTGTTTATTACTCTCCCTGCAGAGACCATTCCAGAATGCATTTGTACGGGGAAGCCACACAGCATGCAAACAGGAAGCTTCACATAGATGACAAAGTGCTCGGCGGTGCACGGGTTAAAGAAGGCAAGGCGTTGCCAGTACCCTGTGAAATTTATGATCTGGGTCGTCTGACTTGAATGAACGATGTCTCTGGGCATTTTCTTCCTCATACTCATTGTCCTACTTAACCTTGCATCTGGAATGTTATTTGTGGTTCCTTTTAAAAGATTCCCGTGACTCAATAAACTTCCAGCCCACAAACCAGGTCCACGAGTCATGTCGAGCCCTCAGACTCGGCCAAGGGCTTAAGGTTTCCTGTTGAACGACTCTCACACCCAGTGTCTTCATCAGCACGCTGGTGAGGGGTAAACCCTTCCCTGACCCACGTTTGCTTGTTGAGGCCTGGGGCAGTTACAGCATCTAGTGTCAACTTGAAAGTATTAAGAGATAAGGGGAGGAGTCTAGCCTGTCAATCAGGTCGCAGCTTGATGACCTCATTTGGAGGCACCACGGAGATAAAAGGCTCCTTGGAGGCCAGGTGCACACAGACTCTCTGCTTGTCTCCCTGCGAGGCATTCCTGCTGACAAGCCACATGGAGCCAGGCTGATGGAGCCAGAACCCCGGAGCTGAAGGAGCCACTTGGAGACCCACGCCAGTGCTGAGATGCTTCTACCGCCACTGGATCCACAAAACTTTCCACCCATTGGCCTGTGATCTTCCTACATTCTGCATTATTGCATGTGTTGTGTGAGTATGAAGAGGAATTTACAGACTGGTATTGGACATATGGGCTAATATCGGACTTATGGACTTGATCTGGACTGGGCTGGGATGTTTTCTCAATATGCAATTGCTCTTGTATAGAAAGCTCTTTCTTATACACATACGAGTGTCTATGAATTTGTTTCTCTAGTCCACTCGGACTAACACAAGGCCTGGTTTCTCTAATCCCACACCAAGATGCCGGCACACAATGTCCAGGCAGGAGGAACTCCAAAGGTGGGGTGGGACCCGGGGTCTCCCACTCAGTCAGTCCTGGGAGAAGGGCCTCCCTCAGAGACGGCAGCCCTGGAGGCTTCCCTCTGTTTTCTGAGCAGGAGCCAAATGAGCACAAGCAACGCCACGCAACCCCTAGGCCGTCCATCCTGTGGGAGCAACCACAGAGACAGACGCCCATGGACACATAATTGCCTGCCTCCTAGACCCTCTCCCATCCAGCGGGAAACATAACTGAGATGATCTCCTCTGAGAGAACGAGTCTGCTTTAACGCAACGTGCCCGGGCACAGAGCACAAAATTCAGGTACTTAGCACAATGAGTGTTCTCTTGTTGGGTCATCGGTCCACGTGGGTTATACGTGGGTTATCGGGAGCTCTGCTCCACGGGGTCACACTGCGCTCTGGTTTCTTTCCTCGTGTGCACCCTCTGCCAGACGCAAACAAGGCCAACTTACAGCCAAGCGTGCCATTGGCTAGAATCCAGTCATGCGCTCCCCCTGGACATCACAAAGGATTCTGGGAAATGTAGTCCTGCCGGTTTTCCCAGGAGGAAGAGAGGATGGTGAGGACGGTAGGGTCCCAGTTGTCTGCCACGGTGGCTCCGGCCTTGTGTGAAAGGACGTAGACGAAGGGAGGGGAGATGGTTGCGGGAAAGAAGCTCATTGGTCAATCCCTCGAATCGCCCTTGGTTATGTTTTTGTTTTTCCCTGGCCCTGTGGTCACCCAGGGTCCTGCCAGGAGCAGAAGCCTTGAGATCAGCGGGCAGGAGTGTAATTTTGTCCTTGATGCGTCAGCCCCTCCTGGGCACGCATGCGCCTGCCTCTGTGGTGGACGCCGGCATCCAGGTGCTCCGTGCCTGTGCTGGACTCTCTGCCCCGTCGGTGGGACGTCCTGGTCAGCCTTCAACAGCCCGGGGCGTCCTCTCACGTATGGGCCAGAGACAGCACGTCCCAGCCAGGTCCACCCTCGCTGCAGGCCCACGGGCAAGGCAGGGAGGCGTAGTGGCTCAGTGGGGTATACACTGAACTGGTAGCCTGCACCCCGTCACCTGCTCCACGGTGGAAAGTTGTGGCAATCTGAGTCTGTCCAGACGTCCAGACTCCAGAGCACCACCGGGACGGGGCAGCGCCGCTGGGTCCTGTGGGCTCGGCATGACTCAGCATGGACACCACGCTATTGCGGTCAGTGTGAGTTTCCTCTATTGTTTTGATCGAGGGTGAGGAGTTGAGCGAGAGAGAGAAGAGCAATGTGTTCAGAGAGGTGTGTGCGGGCTGCCCCAACCCTGGGACCAAATCCTTGTGTCCCCTGAGCTCCCTCTCCCATCGAGGGTAAAGGGGTGGGCCCCTGTGCTCAGCTCGGAGACAGTGGCCCTGGACACCCTGGCAGGGCAAGCACAGAAGCCTTCCCTGGGGCAGAGGATGCCCGGGAGGCCGCCAGGCTGTGTTTGCAGCAGCAGCAAGAGGCAGGCACAGCACGTGTTTCTCTGCCCCTCCGAGAGCTCATCCCTGTGACAAACCACAGCACACACTGCGAAGGGCAGTGCTGGGAGGGCTGCGCTGGGAGGGCTTCCCGCTGACCCGGGGACAGAAGTCTGAGGAGGGAGAAGGTGGGGGAGGCCTGGAAAGTCTGGGGTGGCCTCCTGGAGGAGGTGGCACTGACCAGGCCCTGACACATGAGAAGGTGGCCCCAGGCAGAAAGGAAGCAGGGCTCCATGGTGGAATGCAACCACCTCCAGGGCTACCCCCTCAGGGGGCTGATTGATAGTCCCTCCTCCAGCAGGTGGGCACCCTCCCTGCTCCCCATGCTGCTCTCCCTGTGTGTTCCCCACTGGTCACCATCAGAGTGTTGGCCCAGGGCACAAGGACAATACTGACAAAGGAACGCAGAACCAACCTGAGGGAGTCAGGTCTGCTGTGCCGTCCCTTCTGGAAGCCACCAGAACGTTCCAGAAAAGGAAGGGACGTGAGACTCCCAGGATGCTCCCTCCCTTGTTCTCACCTCCTACCTCTCTGCAGGTGTCTTTCACCCTCCCTCCCCCACCCCCACCCCCACCCCCCAGGGAGACGGCTCCAAAGGCCCCACAATCTCCTGCCTCCAGCACAGAGAGCCAGGCTTGCCCCTCAGTTCTGGTTCCAGGGTCAATGGAGAGACAACTAGAGTGGGCAGTGGGCCAAGTCACCTGGGACCAGGGCAGTGGGGTCCACCCCAAGCAGGTGAGGATGGGCGGGGTTGGCTCTAAGGGAGGGGGCGGGTCTCCGCTGGGTAGCGCAGCCGGATATGGGTGCTCCGTGGTCAAGAGCCCGAGCCTGGTGTTGGGGAAGCACTCAGAGCGTTCTCCTGAGAGTGGCTGAACCAGGACCCCCGTGAAGGGCACAACGTCACCGTCTGTGATCCGTCAACAAACCTCTGTGAGCTCTTACGGGGAGCCTGGTGCTGCCCACCAGAGGCTGTGCCTGTCTGTCCCTGACTGACAAGTTCCACTCCACCGGACACTGGTGTCTGGTTTCTCGTTGACACGAGGCGGTGGGACTCCCGCTGTGGTCGTCTCGTGCTGACCGGGGTGGTGTTAGCTGCCAAGGCGTCCCCTTGTCCCCTTGGTGGCAGGTGGGCTGTAGCATGGTGGTCGTTGTCCTGGGATTCGAGGTGGGGTCATTGTTACGGTGGGGGGTGGGGAGCCCCTGTGGCTGTCTTTGTCATGACCGTATGATGGTGGTGGTCTTGGAGCTGTTGTCAGGTGGTCCTGGCTGCGGTTAGCGCAGGGGGGCGGGGGCCGGGGGGGAGGGTCGTGACTGTGCTGGTTGGGGTGCCTGTCGTGGCCACATGCGTACTCTCGGACCGCGTGAGTAAGAACGTGTCCTGATCATGCCT